AGGCTGCTGCTCTAGGTGCTGGTGAGGCGGCTACTCTAGGTGCTAGTGCGTCTGCTGCCCCAGGTGCTGGTGAGTCTGCTCTGTCAGGTACCACGTCGGCTCAGGCCTTACACACCTTCACCCTTGACTCGGGTGCTTCCCACTCCTTCTTTCGAGACCGCACCACACTTACGCCGCTTAGTCGGCCGGTGGCGGTCTCCCTGGCGGACCCCTCTGGGGGTCATGTCCTTGCTAGCTTCTCCACTGTCTTACCGTGTCCGGCAGCCCCCTCTGGCACCCTGTCAGGTCTCTACCTCCCCTTGTTCTCTACGAACTTGGTAAGTGGTGCTGATCTACAGGATCGGGGGGTTGACCAGTTCACTCCTGCGAGTCAGCGGGTGACCCACTGTACGTGTGCTCGGACGGGCCGACACTTGGCCACGTTTACCCGTCGGCCGGGGTCGAGCCTGTACACACTGACTACTGAGTCTCCTCCGGTTGCTGCGTCTGGTCAGGTAGCTGCGTCGAGTCAGGTGTCTACTACAGCGTCCAGGTCTGGTCCTGAGTCTGCTCCCTGCTCGTGTCCTCTCCTGTCCCACCAGACTCTCCTTTGGCACCACCGCCTTGGCTACCCCTCCCTGCCTCGTCTCCGAGGCATGGCCTCCCGTGTCCTTGTTTCTGGTCTCCCCCGGTCCCTCCCTCCCCTCCCTCCGGAACCTGCCCCTACCTGCGTTCCCTGCGTCGAGGGGCGGCAGCGCGCCGCCCCTCACTCCTCCGAGTTTCCTCCGACAGAGGCTCCTCTGCAGACTCTTCACATGGACGTGTGGGGCCCCGCCCGCGTCCGTGGCCAGGGTAACGAGCGCTACTTCCTGTTGGTGGTTGACGACTACTCGCGTTACACCACACTGTTCCCCTTGCGCAGCAAGGGTGATAATTGAGGTGTTGATCGACTGGATCCGCGCAGCTCGTCTCCAGCTCAGAGAGAGTTTTGGCTCGGACTTTCCTGTTCTGCGTCGGCACTCTGACAGAGGCGGGGAGTATTATTCTGCCCGTCTAGGAGCGTTCTGTCGTGCACAGGGCATCCGCCAGACCTTCACGCTTCCGGCCTCTCCACAGCAAAATGGGATTGCTGAGCGCCGCATTGGCATGGTCATGGACGTCGCTCGTACGTCCATGATCCATGCGGCTGCTCCCCATTTTCTGTGGCCGTTTGCGGTTCAGTACGCAGCGCATCAGCTCAACCTTCAACCCCGGGTCTCCTTGCCAGAGACCTCCCCCACCTTGCGGTGGACGGGGAAGGTTGGCGATACGTCTGCGTTTCGGGTCTGAGGATCTCGGGCGTTTGTCCGCGACTTGTCTGCGGACAAGCTGTCCCCCCGTGCTGTTCCCTGCGTCTTCCTTGGCTTCCTCCCTGACGCGCCTGGTTGGCAGTTTTACCACCCCACCTCGCGCCGTCCTCCCAGGACGTCACCTTTGACAAGTCGGTGCCTTACTACCATCTCTTTCCCTACCGCGCTGCGCCCCTCCCCGCGCCGCCGCTCTTCCTTGCGCCGGGTCCTCCCCCGGTAGACCCCCTCCCCCCTCAGGGTCCTGCCCCGTCAGGTGTGTCCCAGGTAGACGCAGTCGAGCCTGTCGAGGTAGCTGTTGACTCTGGTGCTGCTAGGGGTGCTGAGCCTCGGGGTGCTGAGTTTGGGGGTGATGAGTCTGGGGGTGCGGAGCCTGGGGGTGCTGAGCTTGGGGGTGTTGAGTCTGGGGGTGCTGAGCCTGGGGGTGCTGAGTCTGGGGGTGCTGAGCCTGGGGGTGCTGAGCCTGGGGGTGCTGAGCCTGGGGGTGCGGAGCCTGGGGGTGCTAGGTCTGCTTCGTCGAGGCGGGAGCTACTCTCTCCGCAGGAGCCGCGCGAGTGGTTTGCCCGCCGCTGGAGCCGTGCTGCTGGAGCTGGAGGTACTACTGTTGCTACTGGTCCTGGAGGTGCTCGTACTGGCGGTACTGGAGCTGCTGGGACTGGGGGTGCTGCTGGGGCTGCTGGAGTTAGTCATGCTGGAGGTACTACTGGAGCTGCTGGCGGTGCTGGAGCTGCTGGCGGTGCTGGAGCTGACAGTCCTAGTGGAGTTCGTGCTGCTGGAGCTGCTGGAGTTGGAGCTGCTGGGGGTGTTGGCGCTGGTGGTTCTGCTGGCGCTGGTGCTTCTGAGGGTGCTAGAGTTGGCGCTGTTGGAGCTGGAGGTGCTGCTGGCGCTGGTGCTGCCGCTGGGGGTACTGGTGCTGTCCCTACTGTTTCTGGAGGTGCTGCGCGGCCGAGGCCGTACTTCGTTCCGCTCCTTGAGCAGGTTCTTGGTCTCCCACCCTCTACTGGTCCTGCTCCTCCCTTAGAGTGTCCACAGCCTGTCCAGTCGCGGTCACAGTTGCAGCCCGCCTCCCCCCTACCTGCTCCTTCTCCCTACACGGGTCCTACTGGAGGTCTTGCTGAGCGTCGTGAGCCTGCCTCTCGTCTTGCGTCGCCTGTTCGTGCTGCTCGCACTAGTAGTCGTGCTCCGCGTCCGCGTCCTCCTGCGGTCCCCGGCACACACCAGATGGCACTGCGTCCTTCCACTGCTCCTCTGCGTGTCCCGTTGCCGTCTCCTCCAGAGTCCTCTCTTCCTACTCTTGCTGACCCGGAGTCTGACTCTCTTCGTGCTGCCAGTCCTACTGTCACGCGCCTCCTGGCTACTGTTGTCAATGACCCTTCCTTTGAGTCCACTGCTGCGTCTACCTTGGTTGCTGAGCTTGTTGACTTTGCTGCTCGTTGTCGTCTAGACTACGCTGCTAGTCTTGTTGCTGAGTCTGAGTCTGTCTGTCCTCCATCCGTCGGGGGTGAGTGTGATCTTAGCACGGACGTCCTTGAGGACAGGCAAGAGGAGTTCTAGTGTTTTGCTACTACTTTGCCTCATCTCGTGTCCACGCTGATTGACCCTGAGGGAGACCCGGATGCACCAGACATCCCGACTCCTCGATCGTACGCTGAGGCGATCGAGGGTCCCTACTCCTCACAGTGGCAGTCAGCCATGGACGCAGAGATGGCTTCCTGGAAGTCCACAGGCACCTACGTCGACGAGGTTCCCCCACCTGGGGCGAACATCGTCAGTGGCATGTGGATTTTCAGGGTGAAGTGGCCGCCGGGTTCTCCGCCTGTTTTCAAGGCGCGTTACGTGGCTCGAGGCTTCAGTCAGCGGCAGGGAGTTGACTACTTTCATACCTTCTCTCCCACCTCGAAGATGACCACTCTTCGGGTGCTGCTGCACATAGCCGCTCAGCGCGACTACGAGCTTCACTCTCTTGACTTCAGCACAGCTTTCCTGCAGGGCAGCCTGCACGAGGAGATCAGGCTGTGCCGCCCACCTGGCTTCACTGGGTCCTTTCCTCCTGATACCCAGTGGAGCCTCCGGCGGCCAGTCTACGGTCTCCGCCAGGCGCCGCGTGAGTGGCACGACACACTGAGGACTACACTTGCGGCTCTTGGGTTTGCTCCGCCTACTACCGACCCGTCGCTGTTTCTGCGCACCGACACCTCTTTGCCGCTGTTCTACATCCTCGTGTACCTCGACGACCTGGTCTTTGCCACTGCTGATACTGCTGGACTCGCCCACGTGAAGTCCGAGCTGCAGAAGAGACACACGTGCATAGACCTGGGTGAACTGCGCAGCTACCTTGGCTTGCAGATCACCCGGGACAGAGCACAGCGCACCATTACCCTGACTCAGTCACACATGGTGTAGCAGATCCTTCAGCGCTTTGACTTCACGTACTCCTCGCCTCAGGCCACTCCTCTGTCTGCTCGCCACTCGCTCTCAGCTCTGCCTTCGGATGAGTCCGTAGAGCCGAGTGGCCCGTACCCAGAGCTTGTTGGCTGCCTCATGTACCTGATGACCCGCACACGACCTGACCTAGCATACCCTCTTAGCATCTTGGCACGCTATGTTGCTCCTGGGAGACACCGACCAGAGCACATGGCTGCAGCGAAGAGGGTGTTGCGCTACTTGTGCAGACGTCGAGCATGGGGCTAGTGCTTGGAGGGCGACGTCCAGTGGTCCTCACAGGTCACGCAGACGCTTTTTGGGCTGACGACCAGGCTACGCAGCGGTCGTCACAGGGTTACACCTTCAGCCTTGGCTCCGGCTCTGTTTCGTGGCGGTCTACCCGCTCGTCTTCTGTTCTTGGCTCCAGCTGTGAGGCTGAGATCTACGCGGGGGCCATGGCTGCACAGGAGCTACGCTGGCTCACCTACCTGCTGAGTGACCTAGGAGAGCCGCCTTGTTCTCCTCCAGCTCTGTACGTAGACAACAAGGCCATGCTGGCCTTGTGTCGGGAGCACAGACTGGAGCACAGAACGAAGCACATTGCTCTTCGCTACTTCCTTGCTCGTGAGCTGCAGCAGCGTGGTTAGTTGCGCCTTGCTTACGTGGCCTCTGAGGCCAACACTGCTGATATCTTTACCAAGGCACTTCCGCCTTGTGATCATCAGCGCTTCTGTACGATGCTAGGTCTTGTGCCTACTTGGCCTCACATGCTCACTTCTTGACCTTGCTTGTACTGTGATCTTTCTATACCTGCACTTGCTTGTTTACCTTATATATGATCTTGCATGTGAAATGGCCTTGTGGCCTTGCTCTTGTGCTCGGACTGAATGGTGACGTTTTGATACACCCTGAGCTTGCTTTTCTTTGCTTGACTGGTCTTGTGACCTCTTGTTCTCCCCCACTTTGCCTATGGGGGTGTGTCAAACTCATATGCTATAGTCTGTGTAGGTTGTAGTGGGGTAGACAATCTGGGGTACAATACTTTAGGTTTTCCTACTTGTACCCACCTGCTTGCTAGTTCATTCATTCCTTCCTCATTTCTTCACATGTACCTCTTTGCTCTGGGTTACGCTGCTTCTGACACCATCACGACGCTTTTCAGAATAGTCAAGAACTACGACATGCCAGCGTTTCTGAAGCTGGATTTTATACGAGTGAGTCGCCTCTCTTTTGCAAGTGCAAGGTGGGTAGATGGGTGCACAGGGCGTCAGAGGGCTGCACCTCTTTGCTCTGGGTTACGCTGCTTCTGACACTATCATGACGCTCTTCAGAATAGTCAAGAACTACGACATGCCAGAGTTTCTGAAGCTGGAGTTTATACGAGTGAGTCGCCTCTCTTTTGCCAGTGCAAGGTGGGCAGATGGGTGCACAGGGCGTCAGAGGGCTGGACCTCTTTGCTCTGGGTTACGCTGCTTCTGACACCATCACGACGCTCTTCAGAATAGTCAAGAACTATGACATGCCAGAGTTTCTGAATCTGGAGTTTATACGAGTGAGTCGCCTCTCTTTTGCCAGTGCAAGGTGCGCAGATGGGTGCACAGGGGCTCAAAAGGGTGCACAGGGGATCAGGGAGGGCTGAAATCTCTTTGTTCTGGGCTACGCTGCGTCTGACATCATCACAACACTCTTCAGAATAGTCAAGAACTACGACATGCCCGAGTTTCTGAAGCTGGAGTTCATCAGGGTGAGTCGCCAATTGGGTGCAAAGGGGTGCAGATGGGTGCACAGAAGAGGGGATCGGGAGGGGGTGGATCTCTTTGCTCTGGGCTATGCTGCTTCTGACATCTTATCTCCATGCCTACCCGTACATACCTGCCCTTTCCTTGTTGCAGGAGGTTGGGTTCTTTCACATGCGGATAGCAGACGGAGTGGGTTGAGTCATGAGTTAATTTCCTTGTCTCTCCCTGTCCTCTCTCGTGTTGCAGGAGGTTGGGTTCTGTCACATGAGGATAGCAGACGGAGTGGGGTCGGTGCTACAACTATCGGGCTTAATGGCCAAGCTCTGCAAGATAGCCAGAAACGCAGCTCCTAAGTAGATGAATTGCCACTCACTGGTGTGTGTAGGCACAGCACCACAAGCTTGCTGCTGATCGGTGCTGCAAATATCAGGCTTGATAGCCGAGCTGGGCAAATTAACCAGAAACGTTGCTCCGAAGTAGGGCCATATTTGTTGATGAATTTGCATATAGAGTTGTAGATGACCGTAAGAGAACTTTCAATGCAATGCGACTAATCAAGCTCCACAGTGGTCTGAAGGCCTGATTTCCTTGACTCTCTCTCTGAGGCTAGCTCATCTCCCCCTGAACGTTGTCCCCACAAACGCCCATCATACCGTTTTCTAGATATTGGTGGTACAGATAAGGTTGCGTTACACAGTCCGCTATAACAGATAAGGTGTACATAAACAATCACTTACTAAGAATTCTTCCAGCAAGTTCAGTCACAGCAATCGCACCATCACTCGGATTCGCGTCCATCGCGCCGTCGCATGCGTGAGATGCAAGGATCAGTGTCCCGCGGGATGGCGAAACCTGAATCGCGGAATTCTGGGTTCGCAAACCACTGAACCAGTCTTTCGTAATGTAATTTCGTCAGTTTGATAACCAGTCACGATTCGCGAAAGGCTCTCAATTCTCACCGCAATTATTCGCAGCAAATTTGATTGCGAGGTGAGCCCACAAAAAATCAACACAATCATCAGTTGGAAAACTCGTGCGATTCGGGCTGCAAAACTCCACACGCCAGTTTACAGCAAAACCAAACCCGCGACTCACGGCAGCTACCTCACGAAGCACAAGTCCCGTAGAATAAGTAGAAGCTAGCCATGCCGTTTCACTTCATCACAAGTTCCAATCATCTTCACCTTCTCATCTTAAAACTACATCGTACCAGCTAGAACGGTTCAGCGTTGCCCGCTACAAACAGAAGCGAAAATGACTCTGGCTAAGACCACTTTCCTTGTCGTCGTCATCGCGTCTGCGATGCTCCTTTCCGCCCCTGCGCGCGTCTCTGCCGCTGCGGCTCCAGGCAACGCGACTGCGCCTGCTACTTCTGCTAAAGCGGCTGCCGCGCCTGCTAACGCGACTAAATCTGGAAATGCTACAAAAGTCGCTAACAGCGCGCATGGAGTGGCTACGGCGAGGCTGAGCAAGGGCGCGGGCGAGGGAAAGAACTCCACATGCGCCTACTACGGAAAATACAACGCCAACCCTTACTTCGGCAAGGGACTCACCGCGAAGATTCCTGACGCGCTCTTCAGCAAGCGATGCGGCGCGTGCTTCAAGGTGATCTGCAGCAACGACACGAAGCGCTGCCGCAGCGGCAAGGCCACCGTCACCGTCCGCGTCGTCGGCGCCACCAAGACGGAGGGGAAGCAGATTTCGCTCTCCGCCGTCTCATGGGCGAAAATCGTGCAGGGTTCGGAAACTGCCCCTGTGAACATCACGTACAAGCGCACCAACTGCGTTTCCACCGCCGGATCGGCGGTGCGCGTGCGCAGCAACTCCACCGCGGAGCATTTTAACATTCAGATGGTCGGCCTTGCCGGGCCCGGCACGCTTACCGAGGTAGAGCTTAGCGCGGACGGCAAAAAGTGGGTGAAGCTGACCCGCGACGGAAACAAGGCGATTTGGGGGATCAAGGGCAAGGAGGCGAAGGCGGTTGTGGGCGCGAAGAAGGCTATGAGCGTTCGCCTCACTGCGGGACACACCAGGGAGAAGATCACCCTCGCGAATGTCATTCCCACCGCCTGGAAGCCTCAAACGCTCTACTCGTCCAAGACCAACTTCAAGAAACTCATGGCTGAGGCCAAGTAGGCAAGTGGTAGGCGTGGGTTTCGAGGCGTGGGTTTCTAGGCGTGGGTTATGGAGGCGTGGGTTTTGGAGGCGCCTTAGAAGAAACCCGCGACGGTGTATTCGTCCAAGACCAACTTCAAAGAAGCTCATGGCTGAGGCTAGGAAAACGTTAACTGTGCGCTCAAGGCGGTTGAAGAAAAATCTAGGTGCCACCTCAATCCTCTGCGCTCGTCCAAGGCTAACTTCAAGAAGCTTATTGTAAGACCAAGTAGGCCTGGTGCGAAGAATATTTGCGGACTCGTCCAAGTCAGGGCGAAGTGGGTTAGGGGGAAGGGGAGGGGATAGGTTAGTGGGGGAGTGGGATTGAGGGTGGGGAGTGCGATGATGCAAAAGGGCTTTTGTATGCACATGATTTTTGAGTCAACAATTTGATTTGCTTGAGTTCCAGACTCGTCCAAACTTCTCTGCTGTGCAGAGTACAACGGAATACAACAGGGTTTAGGTCCCCTGCTGCTTCCACCACTGAAACCAGCAGCAGTGTTTTTCAGTGAAACCAGCGCCACCTGCACCACCCTTTCTCCCCACCACCGACCTCCCTTGCAGGCTACCAAAAACCACTACCGTACCTTATTCTCAACACTGGTTACCACTGGTTACCAGTATTTCCGGCGATTCCACCACCAGGACCACCACCGTCACTAGCCTCACCAGTAACTCCAATAATTCCATCAACTACAGAACCAGAACTGTCAGTGTTACGCCTGCTGCGGCTCCCACTATCCCTACTCCCATCCCAAACTGCTATTGCTGCTGCTGCCGGCGCCGGCGCCGCCACCGCCACTGTTGCTGCGGCTGCTGCTGCAGGCACCATCAAAACCAGAATCACCTGCCGCGGCATTGTGTGACACAGCATCACCTGGCTCCTCCTAGCTCTCTCATTTCAGCACTGTTGCTGAAATGTTCTCACCCCTGCCGCTGCTGCCGCCGCCGCCGCCGCCGCTGCTCCTCCTGCCACCATCGAAACCAGAATGACCTGCCATGGCATTAAGTGACACAGCATCACCTGGCTCCTCCTAGCTCTCTCATTTCAGCACTGTTGCTGAAATGTTCTCACCCCTGCCGCTGCTGCCGCCGCCGCCGCCGCCGCCGCCGCCGCTGCTGCTGCTCCTGCCACCATCGAAACCAGAATCACCTGCCATGGCATTGAGTGACACAGCATCACCTGGCTCCTCCTAGCTCTCTCATTTCAGCACTGTTGCTGAAATGTTCTCACCCCTGCCGCTGCTGCCGCCGCCGCCGCCGCCGCCGCTGCTGCTGTTGCTCCTGCCACCATCGAAACCAGAATGACCTGCCATGGCATTGTGTGACACAGCAGTAGCCTGGCTCCTCCTATCCCACTCTTTTCAACACTGTCGTTGAAAATGTTCACACCACTGCTGCTGCTGCTGCTGCTTTGACCACCTACGGCCACGGCCCACCATAAACACCTTCCCCAGCAGCATTACCTGCACGAGTACCAGCCTCCCCCTCGACCTCACTGAAGTTCTCTCTTTGTTTTACAGAGGATTGCATTGAAGGAACAGCCTCCCTCTGATGCTTCGCCCCTGGATGCTCCTCCCTCGGATGCTCCTCCCCCGAATGCTCCTCCCTCGGATGCTCCTCCCCCGAATGCTCCTCCCTCGGATGCCCCTCCCCCGAATGCTCCTCCCTCGAATGCTCCTCCCCCGAATGCTCCTCCCTCGGATGCTCCTCCCCCAGGTGCTCCTCCCCGGGTGCTCCTCCCTTAGATACTCTTACTATCACTGCCCATGTTATCTACTTCTGTCACCACCACTGCTGCTGTTGCTAATGTTGCTTCCACCTGCGGAGAATAGGCGATTCTGGGAGAGCCTAGGCGCAGAGTTGCAAAGCGGATGGTTGTAAACCGAATACTGATTTGTGGAAACCGAATACTGATGCCAATCTTGGTATGCAATAATTGAAGGAACGGAATTGATTAAATAATGAAATTGATATATTACAACAGAAACAACATGAACCTTATAGAGAAGCATAGTGACGTGTGCAAGAACGTTCTACGAGAACGTTGTTCACGAAGAACGTTGTTCAAGGAGAACGTGCAAGCACCTACTCTAGAATGCGGTTCCAGGTTGGCACCGCCAGGTGAAAATACCATCAGGTGAAAATACCGTCAACAATATTTCTACCTGCCCAGGAGTAGTTGCGCAGGTTCTTGCAACACTGACAGCTGCACATACGCGTTTGTGCAATGTCGTCACTTCCCTGGTCCAATGTTGAAATGTGCATACCGAAGCGCACATATTGGAGTGTACTTGGCGAATACCGCAATACTGGTAAAACCGGTACGCGGTATGCAAAGTCTCGCTGCTCCGCATAGGGCCGCTACACGCAAAACCAGGCACGTGCAAGGCTTCGCCTTAACACTCCCCTGCCCTGCTCGTGCCTGGGCAACTGAGGAGTTAGCACACCACACAAAGCGAAAGGAAATAATAGAGTACAACAGGGTGACGATCCTGATACTCGTCCGCGTGTTTTCCGCACACGCATACTCATCGCACCAGCCATGTTGAAGGACATGGCACCTATTCCTGCTCGTTGTCACGCTCGTCGTCTGCAAGATCAACTTGCCCAATGGCGACAGAGCAGCGCTTGAATGCCGGGGAACGTAGTGCCTTCGTGAGATAGTCCGCGGGTTGCTCGCTCGTCGGGATGTACGTAAGCGCGATTTTCTTGCGCTTCACCATCTGCTGCAGCCATATGTACCGCCTCTCCATGTGCTTGAGACTCCCCTTGAGCCCCAACCCTTCCGCAACCGCAATTGCATGTGAGTTGTCCACGTGGATGACAGTCGGCACCCCAACATCTAGAAAGTGCAAACGGTGCGCCTCCTTCCCGGCCTCCATTGTAGCAATGTATTCGGATTCCGTTGAGGACAACGTCATGCACTTAATCCTCTGACTTGCCCACGAAAGTGCAGCTCCGCCAAGAACAAAAACGTATCCGCTGGTACTGCTGCGCGTCTGCCGGTCACACGCATCATCGGAATCCGCATACCCCACCAGGCGCAGAGTATCCAGACCACCACCGAACTCGAGGGCGAAATCGCGGGTGTCCACCACGTAGTCAATGCAGCGGTCCAGCTCCCTCCAGTGCTGGTCAGTGCGAATCGTCAACCCCGAGCCCAACTTGCTGCATGCGTATGCGATGTCGGGACGGGTCGTATTTGTGGCAAACTGGAGCGAACCCACTTTCTGATGATACTCTTCCTCTTCACGCGCTTGGTATTCTTCGTCGTCAAATGTCAACTCGGTGTACGCGTCGACCGAGATAGGCGTTTTTGGGCAGCGACCTGTCTGCTCTTCGTCCACAAGCGGCGACGCAGCTTGTCCACGTATGCGCTTTGGTGCAGCCACAGCTTGCGCGCAGACCTGTCCCTTACTATCTCCAGACCCAAATACTTCTGCACGGGATTGATTTCCCGTAGCTCGAATGCGTTTTGCAGAAGCTCACGGAGGTCCTTCAGCATCTCGAGGCTGCTACTTGCGGCGAGCAAATCGTCAACGTACACCAGCAGCCAGCAACCGACGCCATCAGCACCAAACTTGAAGTAGAGCGCTTCGTCAACCTGACTCTTGCTCCACCCGCCGCCAATGAGTATGCTGTCGAGCGCCGAATACCACAGCAGTGGACTCTGTGTGAGTCCGTACAAGCTCTTTAGAAGCTTGCACACGCGAGATGTACCGTCGTTGAAGTACGCCGCCTGCTCCATGTACAGAACCCGGTCCAATTTGCTCTGCAGGTATGCGTTTTTCATGTCCAACTGCATGACGTGCAGATCGAGTACCGCGACGATGGAGAGGAAAATGCGCAGTGTAATGTAGCTGCCAACCGGGGAATACGTCTCATCATCCGCGCCATAAATCTGCGTAAATCCCTTCACGACGAGCCGTGCCTTCTCGCGAGCGACCGTGTCGTCGGCGTTGTACTTTGTCGTAAGAACCCACCGGTTCTTCATGACATTGACGCCGCGCGGTCGAGGCACCAACTCCCATGTTCCGTTGGCAAGGAGGCTACGCATCTCCTCATCCATTGCCGCTTTCACCGCCTTCCCCTTCTAGCTTGCAACCGCTTCCTTGACGGTCATCGTTCCAATCGTTCAGGATCAGCGTGCACATTGGGATCCAGTTCTGGCAGCGTGGTATCCGCATTTGCGTCATCGAGAAGCGTGTTAGCGAATACCGGGCACACGTCGGCCCATTTCTTTGGAGGCACACCAAAGTTGGAGCGGGTGGAATGCCGTGTTGGCGGCTTGATTTCCACCACATCGCTCGAAGAACTTGTCAGAATCCCAACCACTAGACCATTGGGATAAAAGGGCTTATCAAGTAGCGGATCAGTGTGCCCATAACCCTCCATGCCAACGTGCCTGTAACCCTTCACTAGGATCAATCGGGAATCTCCAGTGGACCCCTGACACCCCCCCGCACTGGGATGCCTGAAGTGCACACACTGAGATTCGAAACCGAGATCTTCGCTCTGATACCATGTCAGAATCCCAACCACTAGACCATTGGGATAAAAGGGCTTGTTACGTAGCGGATGAGTGTGCCCATAACCCTCCAGGCCAATGTGCGTGTAACCCTTCACTAGGATCAATCGGGGATCTCCAGTGGACCCCTGACAGAACTGTCTCCAAACGACTCCCCTGCAGCTTCGCCGATGACCTCCACAACGTCGCTCGACGTGCTGCCGCTGATCTGCTCCCCTGTCAACTGCTCCCCTACCGGTTTCTGCATACTAGGCGCCGGTTTCTGCAGGCGCCGATTTCTGCATACCGGGTGCGCCATCCTTACAAGATGCGGCAGGTCGACCGTCGACGATGCCGATGCGTTGCGCCGAAGGTAGCGCGTCATGTCTCCCCTCATCGTTGTCGGCCGACTTGGACGGGGTGGCGGCGGTGGGAGTTAGGCTTTCTGCAGCTGGCAGCGGAGAGGAGAGGA